TAATCTGTTGAAAGTTATTGAAAATAACAATCTAGATGAGAAAATGTCAATTATTTATATTTACAGTTTTGGCGAAAAACTCTTACATAAGGTCATGTTGATTTGATTATATGGAAGACATCCGTACGCGCATGAATTTTCGGCCGTTTGCTAACAAATAAAGTTTTCAACCATACTGTAATACGTACAAAACGTTTACAAAATTAGCAAATATAAACCGAAAGTTGCAAAAAAATATTGGAAAACCATAGTCTGTGTCATTTCTAGGATTGTCCAACCTTCATGACGACGTAGACTTCATAATAAAATAAAGCAACTTTTTTTTTTGGAAAACTTTTTTTATTCGCACGCTCGCATCAGTTTTGGGGTTCCCAGAGGATGTCGTCCATATAATCAACTCAACATGGCCTAATATTGCTTTAAAATCTTCCTCTATCACACACGATAACAAGAGTTTTGAACTGTCATACTATTTACTACGTTATAATACAAGGGTTGATAAAAAAGTTCGCAGCCTTACCTACAAGACCTCACTGAAACTCCCATTCTGGGGTATAACTGTATACTATGATGTCTTAGATCACTGCACACAAAAATGCAAATTTTTATATTCATTATGGGGGGAAATGGGTCGTCCTCGGTTTGGTCCTATATTCCTACTCATGTCGAAATCTAGAGCAAGATTCAAGCATGCACTTAGACAGTGTAAACGTAATGAGGATAGGGCTCGAGCAGACTCCACTGTTAACAGTTTTAATTCTGGAAACTATAGGGAGTTCTGGAGAAATGTGAGAAATTCTAATTCCTCTAATACGGTTCTACCCAACACTGTAGACGGTACTTCTGGTGCGGAGAATATTGCTAACCGTTGGAAAGAACATTTTGAGTCTCTGTTAAATTCTGTAGATAATCAAACTCATAAGCCGGAAGTGATTTCCGCTCTGTCACCTGTATGCTTTGATCACGGTATGCAAATCTCCGCACTGGAGCTCGCCAATACCATTAGGGATTTACCCAATGGTAAGGCGTGTGGGTCAGATGGTATAAGGAATTAGCACCTGAAATATGCTGGTCCGAGCTTGTATGTCCATTTGTCGTTGCTGTTTACAGCTACCATTGTCCATAATTTTATTCCCAGTAGCCTTTTAGACACTATTATTGTTCCCATCGTAAAAAAAAATCTGGTAACATCTCTTGTACTGACAATTATAGACCAATTGCGATCACTTCGGCGTTATCGAAAGTCCTAGAGGCACTCCTGCTTAATCGTCTGAAGCCTTTTCTTCTGACGTCTGATTCTCAATTTGGCTTTAAACCTAAACATGGGACTGACATGTGTGTTTTTATGTTAAAGCAAATTATCGAGTACTACAGGGGCTTAGGGTCCCCCGTCTTTGTGTGCTTTATGGATGCCTCTAAGGCCTTTGATCGCGTAAACCACTGGACACTGTTTAGAAAGTTGATCGACAGAAATGTTCCGCTATATCTAGTTCGATTCTTGGTTTCCTGGTATACGAATCAAAGAATGTTTGTGAGATGGGGTGCAGTCCTTTCCCCCAGCTTCTCCGTTGCTAACGGAGTACGACAGGGTAGTTTACTGTCCCCATATCTTTTTAATGTATACATAGATGATTTGAGTGTAAGCTTAAACAATGCCAAGGTGGGCTGTTATGTAGGTGGGTCCATCACCAACCACCTGTTTATGCCGACGACTTATGTCTGATTTGCCCTAGCATTAAATCTCTACAGAGATTGGTTGGGATTTGTGAAGTGGTTGGCCATGGTAATGACATATTGTTTAATACTAATAAGACTTTCTGTATGTATTTTCCATGTACTCGTTTGCCACTTCAGCTTCCATTGCCACCTGTAGGTCTATACGGTACCAACCTGAAGTATGTAAACTCATTTGTCTATTTGGGTATACACCTAAATACCACATTAAGTGACGATGATTGTGTACTTGCTATGCTGAAGAGTCTTTATAGTCGTGCAAACAGTATCAACCGCAAATTTTTCTGTTGCTCTCCATCTGTTAAGAGACACCTGTTTATGACGTATTGCGCCCAGCTATATGGCGCCCAGTTATGGAGCTCTGTAAGCTCTGGTGTTTTGTATAAGTGTAGAGTGGCTTATAATAATTGTTTTAGAATCATAATGAATCTGCCTCGGCGTTGCAGCGCGAGTGAAATGTTTGTCTGTAACTATATTGACACTTTTGAAACCAGGAGGAGGAGAATTTGTTATTCTTTTCTAAAAAGGTTATTTTCCTCCAATAACGCAACAATCTGTCGCTTAATTCATTCCGATGCCTTCTACAGGAATTCATTCTTTCGGAAGACCTACCATTTGTTATGCTTTTAGGTTTCTTCCTGTTTTACTTGTATGTCTGTAGTGTTTTTGTATTATTTTAATGATGTATTGTACATGTTATATGGGTTTTTTTTTACCTGAAATAAAGAATGAATTAATTAATTAGCACGTGACGCCCCGTGAAAATGGGCGGGTGAGGGCAAAATCACAAAATGGCCGAAACAGAAGCTCGTACTGCGATCACGTATATCGATAAAAAGTGATGTGTCCCAAGGAAGTTCAGGAACACATGGTCAAGACACTTGGTGATAACTCCTTTTCTTATTAAACTGTAAAAAAGTGGGTTGCCAACGTCAAGCGCGACACGGAGAGCACGAAAGATGGACAGAGGTCGGGGCGCCCTAAAATCAGCACCACGGACAATCCAGCTCAGGCCATCCATCACATGATAGTAAATGACAGATGTGACACTGTCCAACGTGTAACAGGTTCATTCGCCTTAGTTGTGGCTCAGTTCACAATGTTTTCTCGGATGAGCAAGCTGTCTGTAAGGTGGATGTTGACTGCCCACGTGTTAAGACAGCTAGAATGTTGTCTGAACATTAGAAGTTAGACAGGCTGGACATTTCAAGGAACGAATTCAGTCCATGAAGGCAATTTACTAAAACGATTTGTCACCTAAGATGAGACATGGGTTCGCCACTTGTACCCCGAATCAAAACGGCAGAGAAAACAATTGATAAAGAACGATTCCAGTGGATGCCGCCTGAAAGCTCCTACGCTTATAGAACTTGTCTTGTGTAATAGTTTTTATATCCTTCCTTGTACTTTCATTAAACGTAATTCATTCAAATCAGTATACCAGTTGCATAATATATGGGGAAATGTTATAATGGCCACCTTTTTAAGATAACATTTCTGTTAGGTGGAGAATATGATCAAGTGATATACTGCATGCAATTATGGCTCTTGAAAGAAAAATGTATACTTTTTCAGAATGGTTAAGATTATTTGGCGAAGGAATGAAGTCGTCGAACTTGTTTTGAAGGTTGTGAAATCTTACATTTTAAGGTCGACGTCCCTTTTAGTTGACAGAAGCAATATTTTAACCAATACAATTTGATACTTAAATCTTCATACCAATACAATTTCCTTTCTTACTGTCACAAGTGAACAACGCAGATCCCATCATTGAACAAAGAAAAAAACATTGACACAACCAAAAACAAACACAACGAGATTTCCGAAGAAACATTTATGCGCTATGTTACAAGCAACAAACAATAAGGAATATTGAATCCTGACCTACAGCTAGATTCGTAAGCGGTGCTTTTATTGGTGTCATGTCCTTAGTAAGCGAATTTGGATTTTTTTTTAAATTTCGTTTAAGATAACTTAATAGTTACTGTAAGAGCGCCTAAGGTTTTGAGATATGGATGCTTCGCTCCTATGGTAAATGTATCAAAACATGTTGACAAACGTAAACTACTGAAGTTATGTAACATATACCTATAACATATACTTATAAATCATTTACGATTATGCATAAATTCCATACTAGCACAATACATACATAGATAATCATACGCTTAATGAGTTGAAACATTAACATATTGTTAATGTATCCTAAAAGCATGCAAATCGGCAGCATCATTATAATAAAAAGTATAGATATATGTGTATATTTTACTTCCACACATGAAGAAATGAATATAACATATATAGGGTTTACCCACTTCGATACATAAAGATATCTTATGAATTGTAACAATGTATACATAATATTGCATGATTTGCACAGGTGTGAGGAAATCATTAGGTAGATATATAGGTAAAATGCTAAACCTTTATATACAGATACGTACAATATTACACCATTCAAAAATGTAAACTGGTTTGAAAAAGAATAACTACAACATCTATATCTAGACTAGTAAAGGCCCCTTCAGACATTCACGACGTTCCACCGGACACAAACCAAGGTTGGCTGAATTTTAGAAACATCTGAACAGAAGACAGACGAAGAACTTTAGACAGATTTACCTTTCGGTACAAATGAAAACAAAATTTAGTTAAATTTGACTGCCAACCACACCCAGACCTACTCCAGAGCACCAGCCAACCATCGCCGAACCTTCCGTTGCCACCCCCAATGTTTGAAACATTTAAAAATATTTGGCTGGCGCAGCCGAACAGTTGTCAACCTCGCCGAACACTAGCCAACCACAGCCGACCTTGCTTCCTAACTATGTTGGTCCAGTGTTCGGGAGGCCATATTAGGATATGTGTGATGACCCTAAGGGATTAAAAAGGTATCGGAGGGCCGTGTCATGTACATGCTGCCTGCTCCAGTTCTATTTCCAGGAGAACCTTGCACATGTGAACTTTAAAAACAGCAGCCCATGTGAAAGACTTGGCGACATTTCTTACACTTACTCAGTTATCCAAGTTACTCGATTGGAAAGACTCGCTGCCGATGGCAAACCAATGTAATCCGGTGATCCGAGCTGAATCTTACTTCGGTTATATTAGTTCATGCTCAGCTCATTGTTGCTCTAGTTTCTCTTCTTTCTGGTACCGGTATTCGTGCATCATGTTTTGGATTTTGGTGTCTATGTCGAATTTATTTACTTTGTCATTAGCAAGTTTTAAATTGAGACGTCGTCTTGTACATCCGTGGTAGCAAATTAGTTTTCCTCGTCAATCGTTGTTAATTTACTTTCTCTGCGGATGACTTCATAAGAAGGGTTAAAACGGCTATACTTCAGAAGGTTAAGCACGTCTGAGGTCGGGCTACTCTTCTGTTGACGTGATGACAGTGGCAGGATGGAGTTGCAGATGTCCAGACTTTCGTCAAGTTTGTCCCGGATCATGCATATGTTGACTTTCAACTCCTCCATCTTTAGTACACCTTTGAAAAAGACAAGGAAACGTTCTTCATGTTTGCGCCAGTAATGATTGAAAACAAATGCAACATAAAATTGAGTTGATATATATTTACATGGGACTGTATGTCATCGATGAATCTTTATTGCAAGGGAGCTACTTTTTTGTATATGTGAAGAGAATGGGAAACATGGAGTGCAGAACACTTTAATTACTGTACTAAAGCCAAAGACTAAAAGCCATGTTTTAAAACACTACCGAATGATGTACTTTGCTTAACCTCAGCCTAGGTCACAATTCAACAAAGGCGCCCACTCGGCACGTTTTCGGGTTTTTTTTGCTCTACCAAACGGGACCTGGACGGAAACTGGCCTGTTTTTGGCCCCGCGTGGTCGCCGAATTGATTTTAACTGAAACTAAAATCACTTCGGGCCCCGTCGGGTAGGGTACGCCGAAGCGACCTTGTAACCTCACCGGACCAAGTCACCGGACCAACAGAAACCGGCCGTCAAAGGGACCAAAAGTTTGTGAATTTTTTATAGAAGCCGCCACAGCGACCCGAAAGGGAGCCGTAAAGGAACATTTAATTGTGACCCTGACAGCCGGCGCACGCTCGGCGTCTTCACCGGGAACATGCCGAGCAGGCCCCCTTTCAAATGTGACTCCAGCTTTACCTGGTTTATCCTCCTTATCCGGCGTGCTGTGAAACCCCAACATAGCCCGGAAACTCCTCCAGATGTACTCAGCAAGTTCAGAGTCGTGGGTGACGTGAACGTCAGCGGAAATGGCGTCACAAACGATGGTAATGAGGAAGTTCATCAGGAGGATGAAGATGCAGATCATGAAGGAAGAGAAGAAAATCGGCCCGGTGAGAGGGTTGGAATCCAACATGTCTTGGGCGAAGAACCTTGAATTAAAACACAAGTAGGTTCACCATGAGACAACGTCCTTGACAGTAATACGTGATAAACATTAGGAACACGATATGCTTCATACTTTAATTTAGTAAATTAAGACCGTTACGCGTTCTTTAATAATACTGACCTGCCAAGCATCATCTCGAAGAGGGCAAATAACGTATGGTACAGGTCTGTGTAAGATTCCATGTGGCTTCCGAAGATGAGGTGTCCTGAAACCAGGAACATGACAAGGTGTCAACGTTGGTTAACGAGTAAAGGTAGCAAAGTTTCGGTAAAATCATGACTTTTGAGTTATGAGAGTCATTTGTGAAAGAAATTTACTGTACTTGTATGCAAACAACATCATGCAAGATTAGAAAGACCAACCGGCTTGAATGAAGTTGTTTTTAAAAAAAGCGTGCTGTAAACACTGGGAGAATAGGAGAGAGAGATTCACTCATGCAACTATTCTGTGAGATCATAATAATGATGACATAATTCATGACTTTGTACCTGAACTGACAAAGGCTATGAGGGCAACGACAGCAACAACTAAGAAGGACAGGAGCTCCTCCTTCATAATGCCGGGGATTGCCAGCAGTTTGCCAACTGTTTGACTGAAGCGGACGACGCGAAGTAGGGTGATGGTGTTGATGAAGACAACAAGGCCCAAGACGTGCTTGAAACAGGCATCCCACCACAAGGCAGCAGTCAGGTCAAGAAATCGTACAAACCCAAGGTCACCTGATAGATGAAAGAAACTCATGAAATCATAGAGGTACTTTCAGTAACACTGCACGGAAAGTTAAATGGTAGTAAGTGCCAGTAAAGTTGGGCAATGTTTACGTTCTAAACAATTAGACGGGTAATGTTTATTTTGTAAACAGTACCGGACCTCAAAGTAAATATCAAGTAAGATAAAAACATTGCCCAACTTAACTGGTATGTTAGTGGCGACATGAATATAACTTGAGTGTGTCGCCACCACGCCGTGTTACTATATGTTTCAAAACAACTGGCATATACTGCGATTGGTAAAGCTAAATCTTCGCGCAGTGTAAGCGTCTTATGCAGCATAGTTGAAATAATCAAACCTAAAAAAATCAAAAAAAGATATCATATAATCATTAAATCTGAAGCTTTAAATTTCTTAATTCGATTACTGCATTAATAGAGTTATCCTTTTTTATCGGGAAGCTAGCGTACCGTTGCTTGTGGCGACCATTTCAAGTGTCTCAGATGCCACGACATATCTCTTGATGAAGACAGAAATTATTGTTGCGGTACCGATGAGGCTAACACATCCGGGGACATTCCACTTCGAAGTGAAATACTTCCACCCCATGTCTTTCATTCCTTTCACCTCCCTAAAAAGCACCACTAAGAAGATAAGTGTGAATAGAATGTGCATAAACAAGTCCACATAGTCGGCATCAGTTTCGTATTGAAATAGTTTGAAGGAGGTGATTATTGATGTTGGTACAAGATGTCCTACTCCGGAACGATCCAAGATCATGTTCACAACGCTGAACAGCTTCAGGCTGGGGTTGTAGAAGTTGATGTCGATTGCCAAGGATCGTGTATATTTGTCGAAAAACTCGTTGTCTCTCAAGGCACCGAGGAATGATACAGCGGAGCCATGATCCAAAGGAACGTCAAAGGAGTGGCGAGTCGTGCAATGGTTGATGTCGTTCAGCTGAGTTAACTGGTCCCGAATCATGAATCGCCAACAGTTACCAGACCCGTTCCCCTGCAGAAAGCTCCAACCAAGCTCATCACTAGACGTCCTCGCCATGGTGTCTGTATTATGTAAGGGCAGAAAATAATCGTTACAATAAACTGTCGTTTCAGTCAAGCATATTAACAGAGGACAGGGGAAAAGGCATCTTTCTCTTGCGTAAGTCCTTATCTCATTTTTTTTCCATATTAGCTCTATATGGAAAAAATGAGATAGCACGTCCTTATCTCATTTTTTTCCATATAAGAATTCCATCAAACTCTATATGGAAAAAATGAGATAACACGTCCTTATCTCATTTTTTTCAATTAGAATAAGAATACGTACTAACTAAATGTGATAAATAATCAAGTCTATGCAATTGTAATGCAAAACTGGATTGTGTTCTTTGGGGTAATGTTTACAATGGACGAGATGTTTTGTCTTTTAATATTAAAGGCCATTTCTAGTCCATGAAGACGAAAAAGATGCGTTTAACTAAAGCAGGAGGACGACGGAAGAACATGTCAATTTTTCAAGACGTACCTGAAATGGGAAGTTGTCGAACTTGTGTCAGCCGTGGTGGGCCGATGCGAAAGGATCCCGTGTTGTGTGCAAACTGTCGGTCTAAGAACTTCATGTTCTTTCCGTTGTACCAGGTGGTTGGGTACAGGGTCGGCATCCACACGTCCTCAAGCCAACTGTAAAACTGGTCCGGGGTTTTTATCTGTGGGCAAGACAATATATTATATAGTCGTCATGCCCGAAGGCTAATTGCATGTAGTGTCAAAGAAAGTAAAGTAACTCTGTAGGATTATGAAACATATAGCTATAGCTACTTTCTGTTACTATGATTCTGACAGAAACAGATTATTTAAACGTGTTTCCGATAGACTTCAATCACACCATATGAACTTTCAAACTGAAGGCTATAGTAGAAGCTAGTCATCTGCTTACCGCATCATATTCTTGCAGAATATTGTTGGACAGTGACTGTCTCTCATAGACGGCATGTTGGTCTTTGTCCGCCTGGGCGATGTAGAAGAGGAGGACCACGAAGATAAGCAGCAGAAGAAACTCCTTCAGTACAGAAGCTGACTTCTTACCCAGCTCCTTCTTCTTCCTGGCCGATTGACCATCAGGCTTTACAGGTGCGTAAATCTTCTTCGGTGCTATGATTTAAAAGATATGATTAGACAACAGAAATGCATGGCTCTAAAATGTACAGTAAATCATAAGTGTTGAAGAAAAACGATTTTCGCGTCTTGCATGGTAATGTAGTTATTAAGGAAAGTAATCTGTCGAAGGAAAACTAAGTTATTCTCATTTAAATGTGTCGAATTAAAAAAAAAAACATTTCACTTGCGCTGTAAATTCATAATATTTCGAAAGCAATTTTTGTATGCAATTTTTCATTAAGAAAAGACACCGGAGCTAACAGTTCGAAAGTTTTGCTATTGTGCAGAATTATTATCTTCATAGAAGACATAACATAATAAAAGTTACCAGGATTTTTGGACTAACATGTTAGTATTAGAATTCTAACCTGCTGAGTTCCACAGGTCCAGCTGCAGGTCTTCTTTCCGGATAGCTGCTGGCTTGTTGAGGAACGGGAGAGAAAATATAGCAGCCAGGGCAACAGACAGCACAAAGATCTGTAAGGAAAGGATATTTATTGCTTGATCAGTCAACAACATTTTTATTTACTTATTGCAGCTTTATTACATGTATGTGCAATGGATGAGGGAAACAGTATTCTTTCTTGATCGTGGAGCAAATGAAAACAACAGAAAGAACAGCAGGAAATAAAGAATCATTGCTAACAAACAACAATTACAACAACAATAATAATAACAATGATGATAACAAAAATTGCAATTTGATAATGCAAATAGAGTTTGGAAACCTGATACATCCTTGAAATGTTTATTGCTTTTGTGAATCTTATTTGATGACCTGCTCATTTACAAAAATTCTTATGCAAAAGATTTACTAGTACATAGCCCCTACCTAGTAACACACTAGTCAAATCCGTATCATTTGGCATGGAAAAGGTATAATGTTTGTTATGTGAAAGCTAGAGACTTATTTTAAGGTTTTATACACAAAAAGAGTTCCAAGACCTCATACCTTCCCCAACTTATGTTAACCGTTTAAACTAATCATATATTTTTCATGGTAAGTATGAATTGTAAGTATGAAAAGACGCTAATTTGCATAAACTCTTACAAAATAAGGGCATTCTCTTGTTTCCTTGTGAAGTATGCATATTACGTCCCGATTTGAATAAATCATGTTTAGTTTTGTTCAGCTTCAATAAACTTCCAAATATTACAAGTATTAAGTTCCCAGCAATGACCACTATATATATATATATATATGAAATTCTTGAAATGAAGAGGTCACCATTACTCGATCTAAATATTTCATGGAGGTGTGAAGTCTCCTAATTCTTGTTGCAAATGTTCTTAAATATTACGAACCAGACAGCTACATTACCTGAAGTGTGTCCACCACACAGCTGGATCCAATGAAGGACAGAACAAAGGCCTTCATCCAGGCTTCACTCGTCTCCTTTCCCCAGTCCATACTGTACAGGAGGACGAAGAACGCAGAACTGGTGGACACCAGGAACACGGTCACCCACGCCACGTACTTGGCCAACCGGAAGAGAGTTTCCTA